CCTGTGAACCCCGGGAGAAGTTCATTTAGGAAATCTCATGAGACATATAAGAAGTATTCCTGCCAAAACCTCATCACCTGAATCTAATCATGAGGAACCTCGGAGAAACTCAAGCTGAGGGAGAGTCAACAGAATAACTGGCCTGTGTACTTCAAAAATGTCAAGGACATGAAAGACAAAGAAAGACTGTGGAACTGTACAAATCAGAGGATACCAAGGAGAGAGGACTGCTAAGTGCAATGCATAATCTTGGGTTGAATCCTGGACCAGAAAGAAAAAAAAAAAAAAAATGCTGTAAAGGACATTGTGAGAGTAATTTGAACAAGGTCTGTAAATGTAAGTTGTGCAATAATATCTTATGATTGCTAAGCCTCTGGTTTTGATAATTGTCTTGTGGTTATGTAAGAGAGTGTACTTGCACTTGAGAAATCACCTGGAATTATCTAGGGATAAAAGATCAGAATGTCTCCAACTTACTCTTTACCAGTTTAGAAAAAAAGTCTTTATATAGAGAGAACTGATGAAAAAGCAAATGTAGTTAAATATTTTTTGATGAATCTCAGTAAAGAATATATAAGAGTTTGGAGGCTCTATTAGCAATTTTTATGCATGTTTGAAATCATTGCAAAATAAAAAAGTAAAACATAAATAAAATGAAGCTAAGAAAGTACCAAACCCTTAAAGAAGACATTGCGGTTAGGCAAGCAGCCAGCTAGCTCCCTGCTCAAGGTCCCCAACCAGCAGCTGTGAGAAGCCCTCTGCCTCTTGGTTCTGCTTCCTCACTGTCCCCTCTCCCGGTCAGCCTGGAAAGGCCAACTTTATTTTAACAGGCAGCTTTAAAATCTGCCACAGAGGCAGGGACAAGTCCTTGGGCATGTTGATAATAAGAGAAAGTCAATGGATCTAGCATAGTGCAGTGGCCAGAGGAAGAGTTGGGCCTGGAGCTTCAATGGCATCATTTGACCTGTCTGCAACCTCTTAACCTAAAAGAGGCCAGGGTGAAAAGTGTTGTAGTGCCTCAAGTGTCTGGACTAGCCCTGGCTTGCTGCTGCCTTAAGGAACAAAGAAGGTGAACTTGGCTTCCCAGGAGAAGAGCAGCGCTCACTGCTAGCCAGAAGAGGGCGCTGTTGTCTCCCAAGTCGCGCTTAGACCAACAAGCTTTCCTCTCCAGGGAAGTACAGAATGGTTCCACAGATCTGCAGATCCCAAGGACAGGAATAGGGTTAGGTGAATGACAAGGTTGGATCCTGTCTTTATTTAAGATTTCAATACTTTGCTCATCATGGATGTTTCTGCATTAATTTTGATTAATTATTCAAAATATTGCATTACAATATCCTTCATCTTGATTACCCAGTTATTTGGCAACCCCTTAAATTTTGCACCAGAGGCCAGTGCCTCATTCGTCTCGCCCTAGTTCCACCCTGGCAAATCTAACCCATTAATTACAACACCACCAGCTCAGAGTTTGCAGTTGGTCAAATGCGGTCTGGAGTTAAGAGGATCCTTTTATATCTACAAAGAAAAGGCTGGCAAAGGAATTAATCCTGAAAACCCAAATTCCTGCCTTTGATGTCACTTCACAGTTAATGGCTGGGGCCTGACTTCTTTATCTCTAAGTCTAAATTTTCTCCTCTATAAAATGGGAATAGCAATCCCTTCAGTTTATTCTGAAGACAGACTATCACCTCTACCTGAGTACTTCTAAGGGCCAGACACTGCTGAGTCTGCCTTTTAGTTATAAACTCACTAAATTGTCACGGCTCTACCATGTAAGAGTTATTATTGTGCCCATTTTTAAAGGTGTGGAAATGGACACAGTGAGGTTTAGTTTCTTGTCCAAAGTTGAACAGCCAGTAAATGGAAGTGCATCTGCTTTAACCTGCACACCAGCATAGATCTATAGGGGGTAATCTTTACCCCTCAGGGACATTTGACACATTTTAGCTTGTCATGATTAGTGGGGTACTATGGCACCTAGTGGGTAGAATCCAGAGTTGCTGCTAAACATCCCCCAACAACACAGAATTATCTGTCTCAAAATGTCAATGCCAATGCTCTGCAAGGTCAGGGAGTTAAATGAGAACTTAGCACTCAGTGCTTCAGGCTCCTAAAAGAGACCATCTCAAGCTCCCAATTCCCAACACTAGAGCCCAATGGAAGGATGAGTGGAGGACTTCTGCCCTCCCTGGGCTAGCCAGTACGGACTGTCACTCTGACCCCCTCGGACTTCTGCCCTCCCTGGGCTAGCCAGTACGGACTGTCACTCTGACCCCCTCGGACTTCTGCCCTCCCTGGGCTAGCCAGTACGGACTGTCACTCTGACCCCCTCATTATCAACGACTCCGGGGGCTGGGTGAAAGCTGCCCTTGGCTCAGTTGCACAAAAGATATGCTGGCATGGACATTGTTTAACCTACTTAAAAGAACAAAAAGCTTTTAACATGTTTATCTTTTTCTTTAATTACTAAACAAGTACATATTTTCATAAAAATGAAAAAATACCAGTGTTTACAGTAAAAAAACGGAACCGTCCTTTCAACTCCTCCCCACCTCCTACCTGAAGTGTTCCTTATTAAGGTTTGGTCTGGTTTGGTTGGGGAGAAGGCTGGTCGGGGGTCATACTGCCTGTGCTCAAATCCCAGCTCTGCCACATGCCAGCTGTGTATCCTTAGGCACAAGCTTGTTTGTTCATCTGTGAAGTGGAAGCACCATAGTAAGGGCTTGGGAGAGTATTGAGTGAGATGAAACACAGAAAGCACTCAATGAAGCCACTGCACCTAGTTAGATTCAGTTAAAATTCGACTCTTAGGATTATCCCTCCAGAATTCCAGGTACTATTCTTTTTTTTTTTTTAAGTCCAATTCCATGCAATGAATGTGCTTATTACAGACCGGAGTCAATCTCTTCTGTTTATTCATGTGATTTTGATTTTCAGTTCTCAAGGACAGTTTGTATATGCAGAAACCATTCTTCAGAGGTTTATTTTTCAAATTAATATTTAAGTTATCAAAGTTAATAATTCAGAAACAGATTAGTTTACTCTCTCATTCTATAGGTTAGCTTATTTTCGATGCTGGGAACTAACACCTAATAACATGGTGGTTATTGCCCTAGAAAATATTATGCCTTTAAGTTTATCTTATAAAAATCCTTATACTTTTTATAAGTCCAGCTAGGATTGCCAGAAAAAATATAGGATGCCCAATTAAATTTGAATTATCTAAAATTCACGTTGACCTGTATTTTTATTTGCTAAATCTGGCAACCCTATATCTGGCAAACTTAAATAATTACTTTTAAGGGGTTATGGGCCCATTTAAAAAATTTTTTTAAACTTCTTTTATAAGTTTAATGTATCCTATTTCCTAGTAAAGTTCTTTAACTATATAAACTAAAAGAAAGCTTCCCTTTTTAATACTAAATAATTCTAACTCAAATAAATTAAACTTGTAAAACACTGTTAACCCAAAATTCTTATAACTGTTCCAGAACTGTACATAAACTTCATAAAGTTTCAACTTAAAGTCACGAATCTTAATCAACCCCAACATTTTATATTAGAGTTACAAAATTGTCCCTTTAACAGGCCAAAATCTCTCATATGTTACAAGATCATAAAATACCAGATATGTATAAATTCTTTCCTAAAAGACACAAAAAAGGTGTGCCTCATTTAATTCTAAAGCTTCTGGTTGGAAGGTACCTGTTCACCAAAGAAGACAATCACCATTCCTTTGACCAGAGCTGTTTTCACCAGAGAGTTAACCAGGCCTGAGGTCTGTGCAGTAGACAATAGGAAGATTCATCTCATTGGCAGCTCAGGAAACCATTATTTCCTCCCATGTACTATTTGGAGTTATCTGCTTACAATGACTGGGCGTACTTGGCCAGAGATTTTGACCAGGATGCTGACTGGGTATATATTGGCACTGCACACATACTCGCTTTTCCCTGTGGCTACAGCCAACCACATGTCCATCACTTTAAGGGAAGATGATCTTAATGCTGACCTTAATGCTGGCTGTAAGTTATTCTCATTACCTACTCTCTTCACAGAAGAATTTTCCTTGCCAAAGTCTGCAAATCTTAGCCAGGTTTATAACTCGATTGAATTTTGTATTTTTTTTACTTTTCAGATCTTCATATCTTCCTGCCCAAATCTCTAAAAGTCACTTGGGCTGAAATCTTACAATTCTTGCAAAACCTTCCTTTCTCAGGGCCACATGATTCTCACGAACATTAAAGTAATATCAGATTGAATCATGGGTCACTCCAGGAGCTGTAATTGCTTTTTGTCCTTCTAGTCCAAGGACATTTTGCTGACCTATTCTAGCAGACCAGCAACAGCTCTCCCTGGCAACATAGTGCTAGCATTTGGTGTGTTAAATTACATACAGCAAAACCGCCCAAAAATTATGTAATCTAAACTGGACGTGACCCTTGATTACACCCACCAAGGAATTAGAGAGTCAGATCCTAGGTGTGTCCAAGAACAGCTGGCAACTAAATCTCAGCGATGGCAGAAAACATAGCACCGTCCCTGCATTATTGCCCCCTACCACCACCACTACTGCAGAAGGCTCCATCACTCCAGGCGCCCTCTGGTGTGGACCACTTCTCAGTCCATCGATTTTCAGGAAAAGGTACATGGCCTTTTGTGACAACAGGAAAGATGACCAGATGTCACAGCTGGCGCTCAGTTGGAATAGGAATGACTTTGTAGAGGATGGTGCCTAAATTAGGCAGGCCAATTTCCTCACCAGAGTGATGAAAACAGGAGCTCCTAAAAGACTAGCCCATTTCCTTCATTTCCTCAAGGAAAAAATGCATGATCTTCAGTTCCTCACAGAACTGAAAGTAGTAACAGGGAATCCAGTAATTCCTGTTATCTGCAGGCTTTATAAGTCAGCAGAGACCGAGGAAGTGGCCTGAGGAGGTGACTGGGAGCCCACACTGCAAACACCACCGTCTTCTCACTGAGCCCTGAACCCAGCAGGAGCGCCAGGATGTCACCACCGCTGGCCTCCCTACTGCTTCTCGTCCTCGCCATCAACAGCACTCTGGCCCTGAGGATCTGCTCCTTCAACGTGAGGTCCTTTGGGGAATCCAAGAAGGAGAACCAGAACGTCATGGATGTCATTGTCAAGGTGAGCCCCTTTTTTCTGAAAGGATTGATGGACACCCCTCACATCTTCTACTGCTTTCAGACTTGAAGACACTGAGGTGGAATTTAACCAAAGTTAGTCCCTAGAGTGAAGGCAGCAGCTGGCTTGGAACTTTGTAACAATAACAACAGCAATAATTACAATAATTGTTTCACCCCTCCAGGCTTCTGTGTCATCTTCTTAAAATGGGGACAATAACAGTACCTCCCTGTAGGGCTGTTGTGAGGAACACGTGAGCTGGTAAATGTAAAACTCCAGTACCTGGCTCACAGTAAGCTCAGGTAAGGGTTGGCTACTATAATTCTCATTACTGTTTATCGAATGCTGTGTCAGGCACTATAAATAGAGGATTTCATTTCAACACCCTTAGGAAGGAGGATTCTTATTCCCCATGTAGAGATGATGAGCAATGGACCTATTCCAGCTGTATCTTTGTACAGCTGGTGGGTGAGTGACTGGGTGGGGAGCCGAGATCCCAGCCTAGCTGGTCTTTTAACCATCAATGCAGAACAAGTTTTTGTTTGCTTTCTTCTTTCCTCCCTTCCTTCTTTCCTTCCTTCTTTCCTCATTTCTTTTCTTTCCTTCCTTCCTTCCTTCCTTCCTTCCTTCCTTCCTTCCTTCTTTCCTTCCTTCTCTCTTTTTTCTCTCCCTGCTTTCCTCCTTTCCTCCTCTCACCCCATCAACCTTTTCCCAACTCCCAATTCTAATCTTTTTCTCCATGTAGATAAGACTTTCTTTGGGGACTCAATGCCTGGGTTCTCTTTTCACACTTCTCTGGAGTCAGTTGACTCTCTTTACAGGTTAATTTATTTTTGGTACTGGCTGTTGAAACCTTTGCCAGGACTCTACTGGGTGTTTCTATCTTAGAAAACCCTTGAAGTACCATGGTACACTGGGAATGTCAGGAGCCCCAAGTTCAGATCCTACCTGGCAGCAGGGTGAGCGAACTTGGAAAGTCCCTTCTGCTCCCTGAGTCTCCCAGGGCCTTTCAGTAACATGGGCTTTATACAGCCTGTAGTATAGGTTGGCTGAGAGAAATCAAGGTGAACAAGGCCCTCGGCAAAGCTGGCCACAAGGCAGGTGATCAAAAACATGAGCTGCTGTTATTATTAGGCAAAATGGATTAGAGCGAGAACTGGCATGCTCTGTTCTTCCTTAGACGGTCTTTTCAGACCTGGTCGTCCCTGCCCTTTGGATGGTACCCAAGGCCCTCTGGATGTCATTGTTTAGCCAGGACAGTCATGCCAAGCCTGTGAGAACCATGACTCTCTGACTCAACTGGGAGCTCTGACATGCAGGGAAACTATTTTCCCTGCTTCCTCACACAAAGGCCCATGGAGCCTGGGTACCTGCTGAGTTCCCATCACCTTCCCTACTTTTTCCATCCAGGAAATGTCACCACAGCCTTAAGAGGCTGTCATTTTGTTCCTTGGTGATTCCATTTTGGGCGGCCTATAATCAGCACCTCTCTTAACTACTGTGTCCTGGAGGGCTGACTGATGGACAGTCCATCACAACAAACTCCAAGTTTGTCTGAAGTCTTTGTCAAGCCTCCTTACCTTCTCCATCACTGCAAAACCATCCTGTAAACAGAGGCCATCCCAAAACACTGCCAGAGCTACCTGGAGCACTTACAGGGAAACTCCAATCCCAGGCACTCGGGATAGCGGTGTGCACAGGGCCCCTTGTCTGAGCATCTACTTATAGGCAACGGATTGTACATTCTTATTTAATCCAACGATGTAAGTGGCGGTGCTCCCACTTTATAACTGAGAAGAATGAGACTCAGAATGGTGAAGTGACTTATCCAGCTTTCTATAGCTAGTAAGAAGAGCCAGGATCGAATCCAACCATCTAACAACCCAGCCATATAAGTGGAGATGCCTTTTTCACTTGTCCACACCGGATTTGTCACAACGGAGACGAGCCCAGCATCATCATGCTGTTGTTGTTTTGACCTTTGCTGGGGAGGTTGGAGAGTGAGGGAGGCCCGCACTCTCCATCTTGGGCTTGCTGACCAGTACTGCGAGCAGTTCTCCAGATGCCAAAGCCTGCAGGGGCAGGGCTCCTCCTGTCTGTGACTTCTTCGGTTTGTGTCCTTAAAGAGTAGTGTGTGTTCATCCAACAAATACTCATTGAGAGTTGGCCATGCTCCAGACACTCCGAGGTGCTGGGGGTGAGATGGTGGGTGTGAGAGGCACTGACTCCCTATTTGCAGAGCTTACAGCACGTAATCAGGTGTGCTGACTGTGCGTTGGGCCCCTAATATGCAGTGTCCAAGTTCAGTCTCACGACTCCTCTAATTAGTGTGCCCATTTTGAAGATGGGGCAACCGGAGTTCAGAGAGGTAAAGTAAGTTGCCCAAGGTCATGGAGCGAGTAAGCACAAGGATCAGAACCGAGGCCTGACCGATCCCATTTGGGCCCTTCACCACGCTGGGCTGCTCCCTGCTTAGAGACAGGAATGAGGGTTTCAAGGCTGCTCTCTGCCCCAGACTTTTCTAGAGTTCTCTAGACTGCCCTTCCCCTCTCCCCAGGCCCACTCTTGACGCTCCCTGCTGGGATCCTTCACCGCAGGCCATGCACAGCCCCTGTTCCCATCCCGCTCTGTGAACAAGAGTCGGGAGGATCTCGCTGAGTTTCAGGTCTGGGAGGGACTTACAGGGACTCTCATCCTTAAGTCCTCCTCCTGAAGAAATGGAGCCAGAGAAAATGTATTTTTCCTGGTCCTCTGGCCTGAAATTGGGCCAGAGAAATATGTGCCATGAATGAATTTGAAAACTGAATACTTACTGGCTGTTGGAGAAACACATTGTACTATTAGGCTAAAAAACAAACAACAACAACAAAAAAAAAACAAAAAAAAAAACTGTATGATAAATATTGCCATTATTTGCTGAGCATCTGTTCTGTGCTGTGGACTAGGCCAAGCATTTTATATCCATTATGTCATTTAACCCCCATGAGTGGGGAGTTGTCCCAGTTCACAAATGAAGAATCTGGCAGTTTAGGGAGCTAAAGTGACTTGCTCCAGGTCACACAGCTGGCGAATGATACAGTCAAGATGTGAATTCAAGGCCATTTGACTCAAAGTCTATACTTGGAACCAGTGGACTAGTCATCCTGATGCCAATTTTGTAAATGTATATAAATATGGAAATATATGAAAAAGTGTCTGAGTGGTAGGATTTCAGTTTATCTGGTGATTTTTGTAATCTGTTTTTTTCTACATTATCTAAATTTTCTACAATAGGCAACATTATTTCTATAATTAGAAAATTATTTTCTAAAATACTGAATAGGAAATATAGTCCCATTTTTCTTACAATGCCATAAAGAAGATTTAAACACGAGAAGACATTTGTGCTTTATAAACTTGCCTCATCTGGTTCCAGTATGGCCCTCGCTCCCTCCCCTCTTCCTTTCACCATGCCAGATGCTGTGCTAGGAGCCGGGCATAAAGTAATGAATAAAGCAAGGTCTAGCACGTTGTCTAACACACAGCAGGCCCTTGGGAAAACTTTGTTAGACTGATGAACCAACAGATGGATAGATGGGTGGATGGACTGATGAAGGCTGAACAGCTAAAGCTATAGGTTCCATCCCCAGGAGGATTCTGATAATGAGGTCCTGAGCTATTGCTGACTACAGTGGGGATTCCAGTCTACAGGAAATATTCTCAGAGGTGCTGAGGAGACCATCCATGGGGAGCAGAAATCAGTAACTACCGTGTACCCTATTAGGCACTTTATAGATATAAGACATTTTATTTCACTTACATTACATGAGTTAAAATCACACTTGTCATGTCTTAATAAATATTGGCCATCTCGCCCCCCACAATTCCTTTCTCATCAAGCAGTGTTCTTTTTTACAATAACACTTTAATATTTAAAATTATAAGCTTATAATCTATACATTAATTTCATTAAATTAAAGATAGTCATTATGGACAGTTTTGAAAATATAAAACATATAAAGAAAAAAATCACCTAGAATCCTGTCATTCAAAGAGAACACCTGCTGGCATTTGAGTAACTTTGTTATGGTCATTTTTCTATGCAAAAATAAACAAGTAAGTCTGCATCTATTTTGCAGCATGGAAAATACCTCATATCATCAATTTTATATTCTGCTTTTATATTACAAGTAATTCACATGTTAACATGCCTTTAAAATGTGACTTTTAATGCTATATAATACTTTAAGCTATGTTTTCAATATATTTCATTTAATGCTTTCCTATTTGGGAATACTTAGGTTGTTTCCATTTTGTTGCTGTTGTTGTTGTTGTTGTTGCAATGCGTCTTCCTCTTTGATCTGTACAAGTAATAATAATAATAATTTATTGTGTGCCCCCTATATGGCTGGCACTGTTCTAATTACTCATTTAATCCTCCAGCAAACTTGTGAAGAAATGACTATCAATCATCCCAATTTATAGATGAGGAAACTAAAGTGCAGAGAAATACTAGATATTTCTTTACAATAGAAGGCATTCCTCAAAGTGGAAAAACTAGACCAAAGGGCGAATACATTTTTTTAAGGCTTTTGACGCATATTCTAAAGTGCCATCCAGAAAGGTCTGGCAGTCACAAGTCAGCAGGCTGGCTTGGTGAGCAGCACCTGGCTCTCCCTGGGAAACCCTGCAAGGCTGATGCCATAAATTTCAAGCCCTTTGCTGGAAGGATCCAGACTCAGAGGTAGTTTTCCTCCTCAGTCCCCGCTTCACCTTTCTAGAGAGGGAGCCAGACATCGTAGTTTTCCTCCTCAGTCACTGCATAGGTGCATCTCTACCCTCAGCAGCTACTTAAAGACTGCACAAACAAGTGCAGTGGCTCTCCCCGCTTCACCTTTCTAGAGAGGGAGCCAGACATATACTCTGCAAATAGGGCCAGTGGCATGCTCCTCTTGTTCCAAGTCCTTGGCGGCTGTGTGAGAGGACAGAATTAACCTTGAGGATGTCCTGTCCTTGACCAATAAATCCCGAGGCATTGAGCCCACCAGGATCACATACACAGACAGGTTCCCGTGGTCTCCAAGGGATGCGGGTTTGGTCTGCACCCTGATCTCCAGGCTGTTTGCTCACCCTAAAGGAGCCTCTCCTTTATTCTTTATCTACTGAGCTCCTTCTCACCTTTCAGAGCCTGTTCAAATGCCATCTTCTCTGTGGAGCCTTCCCTGATCCTCTGGGCAGAAGTAATTATCTCTCAACCCTTCCACAGTTGTGACTTTTGTTTAGCACAAATTGCATTTGCCTCTCATTGTGCTAGTTGCTTCCATTTGTTTCTTCTCACTGGACTATGAGTCTTTAATGACGAGGACTGTATTTTAACAGTTTAGCATGATGGGCTTTATAGTCATACCACCCTGAGTTCAAATCCTGATTCTACCACCTATACTGGCCATGTGACCTTGAGCTAGTCACTCAGTCTCTCCGAGCTTGGATTCCTTCTGTGCTTAATGGGCTAATAATCATAGCTGTCTCAAAGGTTTGTGAGACTCAGATTGGGCTCACAATAAATGTCAGCTCTTATAATTATGCTTCTTTATTTCCTCAGTACCCAGCCTGGTACTTTTCACTTACTAAGGGCTCAATAAGTATTATTAATTATTATTATTATTATTATTATTATTCAAGCAAAATCAAGAGGTAGGACTTGCTGGGTATGATTGTGGGCTCCAGATTTGGATTGCCTAGGTTCACGTTCTGCCTCAGCCTCTTTCTACCTAGATAACTTTGGGTACTTTACTTGGCTTTCTGGAGCCTCAGGCTCCTTGTCTTTAAAATGGACATATTAATAGCACCTACCTCAGAACGTTCTTCATTTATTTCTGAGAAGTTAATGAATTTAACAAAGCATCCAATTTGATATTTAGAACATAGTAAGTACTCCCAAAAATATTTTTATTGTTTGTAGTAAATGGCCTCAAACACCTGGGAATTCTTTCTCTGCAGGTCATCAAACGCTGTGACATCATACTCCTGATGGAAATCAAGGACAGCTACAACATGATATGTCCCCTGCTGAAGAAGAGGCTGAATGGGTAAAGATGAGGCCCCCTAGGACCCTCTATTGGCTCAAGATCAAGGGAAGGGGCACTTGAAACGCCCCAGGGAACTGAATCTAGTATAAGAGCCAGCACTCACCCTCACCACCAGTTCATGTGGCCAACACTGCCCAGGCTGCCAATGCCATCAGCCACTGTCCTGAGAACTTTCAACCAGCTAGTTTTAATGTGATAAATTAAAATACGGAAAACAGATGAGGAGTCAGGGCAGAGAGAGAAGTGAAAGAAACAGACAAGAGGTTGAGCAGAGTAGTACTGTAATAAAGAAAAGATTGAGTGTGAATAGGACATTATGATATGCCCACAGGCTGAAATATTAGGTAGACATTAAAAATCATGTTTGCTACAGAATGGGTTAGAGCTAAATATTCCAGCATGGAAATATGGCTGCAATATATTGAAAAAAACAAGTTCAGAATTATAGGTAGAGTAACACATCACATCACATTATACATGGATAAGTGTGTGTTTGCACGGGGGAAGAAAAAAAATGAGAAGGATATGCTCCAAACTGTTAATAGTGGTTTCTACTGGGAGGTAGGGAGCTGTGATTGGAGGACCATTGTGTACAGGGTCAGTGAAGGAATGGGGAACCTTGCTTTTTATTTTATATGCTTCTTTATGATTTTAATATTTTATAAAAAGTCTGAGTTGATTTTATAATTTAAAATTTAAAAAAGGGGAGTGGGGAAGTGGATAGGGTAAAAGGGGTCAAATATGTGGTGACAGAAAGAAATCTAACTATGGGAGGTGAACACACAATGTGTGTGTGTGTGTGTGTATGTGTATATATAT